ATGATTTCAACTTTATACACAAGTGCCAAAATAATTAGGACATGAATTGTTATATTTTCAAGATATGATAATTTCTTACCAAAGATAAACCTGCACTTTGATAGGGGCAGAAAATTTCTATAAAAATTAATAATTGTATTATTAACAATCAAGGTTTCATGGAAATGTGCAGAAATGAAAGTTGGAACACTTTTCCAATTTTCTCTGTGAATAATACGACATGAATGTTATATAAGGAAATGTTTTTTAGCAAAATATTACTGAAACAGAATTAGAATAAAATTTTTTTTTGCTTAACATTTAAAATAAGATATGCTGTTGTGCAGTTCAGACTAAGGTGTACACCAGGCTTAACACTTTCACTGCAGGCTTGGTCGAATGGCCCACGTTTGTGACCCCGAATTGATCTTTATAGTTCCCATACTATAACCTCTAATACGCTTTATGCAAGCTATTAGTAAGTATTAAGATTGAAGACTATAAAAATTATGCTTTGCCTGTGTAATAACAATAGTATATTAAGAAATTTACATCAAATTCCATACTTTTTAGAGGGGGTAGTAAATAAATTAGGGAAGAGGAAAGACTTAGAGAGCAAATGTCAGAATTCTCATACTAGGGGAATTGAGGATTTTATTTTAATACTGCCTTATAAAATTAAGAACTTGAAAGATATATATATATATATAATATTAAAACTTGGATTATTCACTACGTTTTGATGTCAAGATTACTCGTATACCATGATAATGAAGTAACTTAATTATATTTTAAATGTAACTCAAAAAAACCCTATGACATGCTCAGAAAAGGATGTCCATATGGACAGAGTTAATTAATCACTTTCATGAACTTGTACAAAGTATTAGACCGATTTGATCAACTGGAAAAAGGTTATGAAAGGTATTAACCCACTGTTGATACTATCTTATACAGATTTTAAACTTCTTGACATATTATACCATATTTAGTTCAGCTATGTTTAGGATAAATTTACACAATTTATGTTCTATCTATACATCAAATATGTAAATTTTCTTCAATAAAATTTCTTGCTTATGATTCCTGATCACATTCAGTGGTATATGCACACAGATCATAAAATTAAATTCAGAAAAAAAACAACTGCCAAGAAGATTAGAAACTCTACCCTGTAAGCTTTCTGGCTTACTGAAGCTCTTTGATTTCAACAAATGGCTGGATCCTTCAGCAACAATAGCTGGTAATTCATATGATGTACACTCAACCTTAACATCTGATGGCTGAGTGGTGCAGACAGACTGTAAATCATTTATTTGGTTTGCTGAAGATGATTCTTCAGCCAAAGAAGTGGACAATGGGACAGTTTCAAGATATGAAGAATTTGTGTGCTCCTCTTCATTGTTTTGTGAATTCTGAGGTGTTGAAGTGGGCTTGGCTATCATGTCAGACTCACTCTGCTGCAAAGTCAAAATACACAATTAAAAAAATTTAAAAGAAACATAATAACTGAAGTTAACATTTTCCTACACTGAAAATATATTTTCTATAGTTACCTCCTGTTACAGTTACTAGCCTTGAATTCGATGACGAGGAACCCACTTTGAGACTAATAATGGCTGGAGACAGCTTGAATGATGATGACAAAATCTTGTCGAAATGTTGTACATATGCTGTTATGTTAAACTTATATCAAAGTTTTTCTTCATTATCCATTCAAGTCATCTCCAGCCATTATTACTAGCCTTGAAACTCCCACCTAATTCTAAATGTATACCACATAGTTAAGCTGCATTTAAGGATGCAAATTAGCATGCGACAGCCCTCCACCAATCGGAGTACAACAAACCCTCCTTTCACAACTGATTCCCTCTATGTATTTGCACTGAATTTTCACTTCAAGATTAGGTATGAAAAACAACACAGGAAGTGAGGAATATGGGTGAGAAGTGTCTATCTGAAATATATTTTCAGTGTAGGAACATATTAAGTTGCAATACGATTACTAACCTCCTCTCATAGTTACAGCTAAAATCTCAAAGGTGGAGGGACCTGTGTAAAATTACCTAGATGAGCACCCTTCAAAAGTGTGTGAAGAACATCCATGGAATGTGCCCTCTCTATGGAGAGGAAACACACACATGGGAGACCGCACCACGTCTGAACCAGATATACTCTTTGCCCATGTGGAGCTAACAGGTGTGGTGTCACAATCAAAGGGCAAAACAAGGTAACAATTCCAAATCCCTAAGAAAGAGGAATGTGTGTAAAGTGGCTAGGGTGTGTCAGACTGTAATTTGGAGGTCAACTCCAGTCCAGACCAGTGACACAGGAAAGAATTTGACCATTCTATGGTAGAGGAGGGTCCTCAACCATTCACTTCAGGTCTAGAAACCAGAAGAGAAGAGAAGCCACTAAATCATCATGTGCACAAATTCAGCACAACCTGGAGCAAAAAATCTCAGGAATGTACATCCAGATGACATCAGGAAGGTGGAAATGCAACAAGGAGGGTCAATTCTGGTCCAAAAAAAATCGGCACTGGGAATGTAACATTTATTCTGTGGTAGAACTTATGTTAGCTGATCTAGCTCCAACTAAAACCAGTCACCCAGGAACCAATATCCTGGAAGTGGTATAAGGGAGGCTTCACAGCTGGAGGAGTAAACTGTAAAATAGACAGAAAAATCCAGTCCAGGCCAGTACCATATGACAAGCCTTCTACATATGCAGACCACCACCACTATACTCTTGACTGAGTGAAATTGTGCACACTTAGGAGAATTTCTCCAGGATCTACCACCCCAGAAGCTAGAAGCTGGTAAGTGGTAAGAACTCCCATACTCCACTGGAAGAAGGGGGTGAAGAAACGTGTTGGAGAGTTTGGTGGAATGCATCACCGAAGAAAGTGCAATGGGTGACCAAAAAACCCTATTTTGAAAAGCAGACCATTCCAGATTCAGACAATTTAAGGAATGTTAGAGATGAGCAGCAATCTCTTTCTGCTTTACTCATGTTAGTCCATGAGTGTATGGCCCAGTAAGAATATATTTATGATGCAATATACCACAAGGAAGAACCTGCAAGCAGTTTTGTGGAACACATAATCTCAACAGTGAGCATGATAGACCTTATAGATCTCATGGTGAGAATTTTGGATATTAGTATACCTTGACAAGCACCATTCACCACAGAGAGGAATCCATAACAGACACAGAAATAAAAATTACTTACCCACTTGTAACACCGTAAAGCACAGACTGAGCAGGAGACGATCTGGATCATAGCAGGAGTAAATATGGAACATGAAAGTAAGGGAAATAGGGGCAAAAGCAAATTCTCCTTTGTGGGCATCTGATGTTTTGGGAAGGAAGAAATGGTCAGGATATAAAAGGACATAGGTTTTGTGGTACAAAATGTGGTGAACATCGATGCCTAAGAAGTCCAACCAGTAATATCCACAAGCCAAAAGGAAATAGGTCTTCAAGGAAAGGTGATATAAGGAACATAAGACTAGTGGTTCAAAGGGAGGAAGGGAAAGAGCATGAAGAACAACATTTAGATTCCAGTCCAGGAAATGAGTGGTACGAGGAGGATGATGGAGACACATAGACCAAAATAAAAGAGAAGTACCTAGAGAAGAAAATACATGGCAAAAATTAAAGGTAAATTATAGTGCTGCCCTAAAGCCCACAATGGTTGAAACTGACAGACCCATGTCAAACAACTATGTAAAAATTAGATATCTGAGACAGGGGAGAATCCATACTGGATAGACCAAGGACAGAATATTCTTCACTCACATTGATACACAGACATGGATGAAAAATGGCAGATTGAGACAACAGGGATGCTACACACTTGGATAGTCCTGAACCCCTTGCAAGGGACTGGACAAAAGCCAAGTATGAAGCCAGATTGTGGAAACAGAAGGATGAAGCACACCTAAGTGAGGTTTCCGGAGGAAGGATAGGGATAGAGGGAGAGGTAATTTCTGGAGAAAGGAACCAGCTAGAAAAGAGCCACAAGAAGGACTCAACACAGATTGGGGTTATTTTTATAAAAGGTCCTTTCAATCCTGGCTGAACGCATACACAAACAGAGCCAAAGGATGTGGAACTGGGGGCCAAAAGAGGAAGTTTGGCATTCAACTGAGTGGCAAATGCATACAGCTGGGGAGTATCCAATTGAGAACATAGTCATTGAAATATCTGGGGGGTTGAGAGACCACTTCATGGGTAGAATCTTGTTGAAACTGACAAACTGTGACAAGATTGAAGGCACCCGGTATGTGACAAGCCAACAAATTAATTTGATGGTTGTGAGCCCAGAATAAGAGCTCTAGAGTGTGGGAACATAAGGACTGGGATTGAGTGCCCCCTTGTCAGGTGATGTAAGAGACAATCGTTGAGTTGTTGAAATGAATCATAATTGTCATGCCTCACAGAGATGAGAGAAATTGAACCATCACCCAACGAACAGCAAAGAGTTCCAAAATATCTCCTATTTATTGCAGCCCTTACCCCATTTTGACAATGAGGCATCGGTGAATACATGGATATCTGAACGAGGATGAGGAATAGGTACTCACTTTGTTATGTTGTCCCTGTCAGACTGATGGGAAGAAGGAAAGGATATCTGTAAGTCTAGAGGTGCCATTGATCTTGTAATAATATTTTTCAAAATGCACTAAAGAAAGAGAAAAATGTTTGAAATCAAGCACTAGGTCTTAAGACTGTTGTGCCAAATAGAGAAGTGAAGACTGAGTTCAATTTCATAGAGGGAATCACCTGCAACAGGAGGGTTTGTCACACTCCTATTGGTGGAGGACTGTTGCATGTTAATTAGCATGCTTAAATGCAGCTGAACCACATAGTATACACATGGAATTAGGTGGGAGTTTCAGGGCTAGTGGCAAGTGAAAATTTGCACACTAGAGGGCAGTCAAATTGAGAATAGCTGTATCTGTGAGGAGATGCAAGTAAACATATCAGAAAGTTTCCTACAAAGTATATTAGATAATAAGCAACACTTAAATTTAATGAGTAACAAAGGTTCATATTTTTAGTGTGTTTTTTTCTAACTTAAGAAATAAATTGTTTCTTGATGTGTTCCAGGTGTTAATTTCCTACCTTCTTATTATCATTATCTAGGGTTGGTTTCTTAATACTAGCTAATACTGTAATTTTCTGTTTAGCATATAGCTGTTGGAGTTGCTGAAGTTTCCTTTCTTCAGCAAGTACTGTTTTTTGTCTCTCCTCTACCATCTGCTTCCGTCGCTCAGATTTCTGTTTACTGATATACTGCCGTACAACTGTAGGATCATAGTGCCTGACTTTTGGAGCTGGTGCCTTTTGTTCCAATTCTGAAACATCAAATATAATTCAACTGACCTAAACTAAACTAAAATACAAAGATTGAACACATTACATAAATTATAGTCATTTCATTCTTGAAATTAGACTAGACTACTAATATATTATATTAATGTTTACAAAATATTAAGATAACTTCTAATTTTTGGAAGATTATAAAACCAAACCTGTAATACCACTATACTATAAAAACAACCTAATACAAAATTCATATTACTCACAGAAGGGTGAATTAGAATTTTATTTTAATAACAATTATAATGTATTCACATTAATGAAACATTAAGGCATGAAATAATTATCTTTAAAACGCGTCCAAGTCAGGAACAAAATGTTAGCATACAATTCCTAACCTATATATTCATGATAGATCAAGTGGCTCTGGGTATCATGTGCATGACAAGAATAAACTACAGGTTTTTAACATACAGATTGCTATTAAAGTAGAGTAAAATATAAATTTCTCTAGACAAACATAATCAATCCTAACTCTAAATAAAAGTAAACAAAAAATTTCTTGGCCTGACATTTTTTACCATAAACCTTATTCTAAGACTTTAATTCTTTCCATAGAGAGTCTGTGAAGTACACTGGCCTTATAACCCCAAAGTATCCATCAGAGTTTCCATACTAGAACTTTTAATATGGTACATGCACCTTCACAAAATTTGGCAAGCTTTTAGTAAACCTTAGTCTTTTGTATACAAAAAATCAGATTTTTTTAACTCAATATTTTTTACTAAAGACATGCCCATGAATATATAGAATCAAAGTATTGTTTGCTCCAATTACAAAGTTATTCCCCAGTTAAAAGTAAAATACTTTTCTTCATCTTAAAATTTTCAAATTTAATTTGCGTAACCTCTGAAGCCTCCTAAATAAATATGAAACTTTTTTTCAGAGAAACTTTGAAACTGAAGACAAATTATACAACATTCTTTCCTGAAAACAACATAATATAATAGATTAACACTTTGTCTTTCTATTGATTATAAACAATATGGTATAAAACATCAGGAGAACTACTGGCAATTTGTAAAAGAACAGATGTAACAAGTGGGCATGATTTTCTAGTTTATATCTCTATAAACAAAGCAGATTGAAGACTATAAAAATTAGACTTTGCCTTAGTTATATCTATATTATAATAAGTAATATATGTTAAACTTCATAGTTCAGAGAAGAATGGTAGATAAATTAGAGAAAAGGGAAGGCCTAGACAACAAATGTCAAAAATTCTCATATTAGGGGAGACTGACAATTTTTGTTTTATATTTCCTTACAAAATTAAGAAATTGAAACTGTATAATTTTTTTAAATTTGATTTATTAACTATGCTTTGATGCATATATTGTATATACTGATCATCAAAGAGTTTAAATTTTGGAAAGTAACTCTATAAAAGATCGTGATATGCACACTTTGATCTACCAACGGCGAGAGGGTTAAACGCTGGAAACCAAAGAAACTTTGAACAATAATCACATAAAATGTAAGACTTGTATAAAAAAGAAAAGATTATAGTCAACATCAGTAGAAAAATAAATATCAAATTCAAATATCATTATATAAATTAGTGACAAAATATCTAAATAATTACATTGTGTGTGAAACAATCCAACGTGTGAAATAATACAAAATGCAAATGTTGTCTTAAAATATAAACTTTTGATGTAACATTAAAACATTTATTGGGGACATGTAGAGGAGCTGGAATACACAGAATGTGTTACTAAAATGGAAGAAAATATCTAGAGGTTTTGAGAAAAGATTCAGGGTGTTTGGAAAGTAAATACGAGAGCAGGTATTCCAAAGATTTGACTACTAACTTGAGACTGTCATCTAAACTTCTAGAGAAAGCATGTGGCAGAACATTCAATGAGTCCTTCTTATTAAAGAATAAGTAAAAATGGCTAATTGGAAAAATTGGCTTTTATAAATGATTGGTGCACAAAATATTGCAGTCTAACAATCACTGAAATTGTAATATTTATCATTTATTAAATTAAAATATTTTTCTATAAACCTTATTATCCTGATTACACTTATTTTTAAGATTTATTATTATTATTTATCATTTTCTTTCCCAATTTATTTTTTTTGTACAATGTTCGATAAATTTCTCTGTCACAATGTTTTTCCTTCACAAAAAGACTTGCTGTAAACTTGGTTAGCCTGTTTTTTGATGATATGTATAAACAAAGTTATTATTTCTATGATTTATTTTTGTAAATTCAGCTCCTAAAGAAGACATAAAAAGGAAGTATACAAAGAATAAAAAACAGTAAATCTACCTTGAATAACAGGTCAGTTTGATTAATTACAAACACAGAATATGGAACTTCAACAAGTTGAAGTAACAGTTTTATCTCCTTTATTATACTAACATAATGCTGTATAAATCTTCTTTATAGTAATGTAAGGCTATATTACCCATTACACTAATGTGAAACTATATTAACCTTCCTTATACTAATGTTTGGCTATATTAATCATTATACTAATGTAAGGCTTTATCAGTCTTCCTATTACTAATGTGAAGCTATATTACCCATAATATTAATGTAAGGCAACATTACCCATTATACAAATGTAAGGTTATATTGAGTTTTATCCACCTGATGCTATATTACACCTACATAATGCAACATCCAATTTTTAACCACTTGTTGCTATATTAGACCTACACAATACAATATGCAAGTTCTAGCCACCTGATTCTGTATTAGACCTACATAATACAACATCCAAGTTTTAACCACCTGATGCTATATTAGACCTACACAATACAATATCCAAGTTCTAACCACCTAATGCTATATTAGACTTACACAATATAACAACCAAGTTTTAACCACCTGATGTAATACTAGACCTACACAATACCAAAACGAAGTTTTAACCGACGGATGCCATGTTCGACCAACACAATACAACAAAGTTTTAACCACCTGATGCTATATCACACCTACATAATGCAATATCCAAGTTTTAACAACCTTATGCAATATTAGGCTTACACAATACACCAACCAAGATTTAACCACCTTACCCTATATTATACCGAAACAATACAAGAACAAAGTTATAACCATCTATTGCTATATTAGACCTATACAATACAAGAACCAAATTTTAAAGACCTGATGCTATATTAGACTTACACAATACAACAACCAAGATTTAACCACCTGATGTTATGTTAGATGATGTAGTACCTGACTGTTTTAGAGCTTTCCTTTTTTTACTTCCCATTCTCTTTGGCTTCTTAGAGGAAGGCTGCTGTGTAGTTACTTCATCCTCTTGAACAAAGGAATCATCTTCAAAAATAACCAGAAAGATCATGTATGGTTCTGAAAATTATGAGCTTAACTGTTTTAATAAATTAGTCAAATGATTTTCCCACACATTTACATATTTCTTCCCACTGATATTTTGTTTAGGGCACATTACTATACACAGAATCGCACTGACTTCAGTAAAGAAAGATTTATCACTTTTATGAAACATATGAATGAACTCATTAATTGCATAGTTCTTCCAAAATAGGGTAATATATCAAAATTACATTCATGTACATCAAAGCAAAGCAAAAACTGATATCAAATCTGGTTGACTTATATTTTTATCAATAAACATTTTATAATAGAACACAAATGACAGCCAAGTATGTACAACTACAAAACCACATTTACCTTTTCATGGCATTATTAAGGGAAAAACTGAGGAAGAAAAATGTATATGAGGTCAGAATGTCATTCTTTGACCCACAAAAAACACAAATCTAGCAAACATACAGCACAGATGTGGCTTGAAAGAGTACATAGAAATGTGAAATGTTCAAATCCACAATGCTCATGTTATGTTGTCACTAGAACCTTAATCGTCAATGTCATCATTAGTACTGATCCACCATTCCATGTCAGTGATGTGATCTTGAAAGTGTCTAGAAACCTTGTGAGTGACAATGGACTGATGTCACATCCTTCATATGTAGGCATGGCTTGCTGGTCAATCTTGTACAAAAAAGAAGTATAAATACTAGATGTCACAGTATAATGAATATTTGTTGTAAAGGTGCTGGGTTTTCAGGATTAATCAAGACATATTTACTGTCATTACACTCAGTGCATAAATGTACTGCTTTCATTTTCATATCTGATATGCCTTTTGTCCAATAAATATACCATGTAAATATTATGGTGGTACATGCATGTTCTTGATGTGAAAATCGAGAATATGCACCCATTATCAACACACTGCACAGACCTTAATATCAACTTCTAGGAGGTATAGAGGTACTGGGACTACTTACTGTTTCCGTTCTTAGCATTGTACTGTTCACTAGATTTTAGGGCTTAGAAAGTCCCTTATTAAAACCTGTCTTTCGTTTAGGCTTAGATTTGAGTGTTTAAGGTTTTTAAGCTTAATATGGTCTTTAAATGTTTTAAATTTAGCTTTATGGTTTAAAAGTAAAGTTTTGTGTCAGGATATAAAAAATATTGAATAAAAGCTCTTCTTTTCTATTGCAACTGTCTTTTTGTGAAAAAGGTCCCATAACAACAGTACAATATCACCTGAAACTCTTCTCCTAGTACGTGTAGCAGAAGATACACAACATTCACTAGAGTATGAGCAGAAAATTAAGTATTGTACTCTTAATGAAAGATAATTGTACTAAATAAAATGTAACTTTCATAAAACACTGGTTATTTTTCTTAATGATTTTTTCTCATGAAAAGATATATATATATATATACCAAAGATGAATTACCTAAAGTTAAACCAATGATGTCATACTGACTGAAATTTATCCATCAAGTAAGAAAGGCTTGAAATGTAATAGCCATGTTTTCACCTAACTTCTTGTTAGATCAAATATCTGTACAATCAAGAAAACTTACCTCTCTCAGCATCATAACTTTGCAAATCCTTTAAGACTGTTCGTACTTTGCCAGCAATCTTATTTTCTGGTGAAAGTGTTGCTGTAGCACCTTCACTTCTGTCTGGTCTGACAGGTACCGAGCTGTGTACTTCTTTTTTCATGTCTTGGAAATTAGCTGAAACAAGTTTTTCCTCAATAACAGACTTCATAAAAAAAATTTCTAAGAGTCAGCAAAATAATACCCCCCCCCCCCTTATCAGTATATTCAACTCAATCCTTAAGTTATTTCTTGACTACTCAGAGCATTATAAAATGCATAACAGTCTCTGTATATAACAATGGCATGTATTACAGGTCCTTAATGAAATCTCTTAAAAAAACAATACCAAACAGAAAAAATTATCAAGACTTGATAGTAAAGCATGAACAAAAGATTGACTCATTCAACTTTAGCTTTAACATGACAGCTCACAAATATTCAACTACCAAACTTCTCAGTTGATTATTTAAATCCATCTGGTTTTTAAGGCCATTCCAGGTCAAATTAAAAGCAAAATGCTATATCCATATCACATTTTAGGTTTTCAGTTTAACCTGACACTTAAATGTTTTCAATTTGTTCTTAAAAGTCACATAGTTGTACAGAGTATAAAGTCTGAAATGACCTGACTGAGTTTTGTTCTGAGTTCCTTTAAACCATTATATCAATAGAGGTACAATGACACTTTTAAACCATTATATTAATAGAGGTACACATGATACTTTTAAAACCATTATATTAATAGAGGTACACATGATACTTTTAAGCCAGTGTTTCCAAAGTGTAGTCCAAGACTCTGAACCAGCCCATGAAAAAAAAAAAAAAAAGCCAGTCTGCAGAAAACTAAAAAAATTTAATTTAATTAATTTTAACCCTTTCACTACCAATTGCCATTTTTAAACTTTTTCCAAGTCCTTGTTATATATTAAAAAGAAAAATGTAATTAAACAAGTCATTATAAATATATTCTAATAAAATTAATATTTTCAAATACATTATAATTTAAATTTAAATTTTCATGTAACTTGGATTTCTCAGTAGTTCAACTAAGCTAATATAACAGGAAGGAAAAGTGAAACTTTGTACTTAAGGCTGCTGAAACTATAGAATTCACAAGTTGATGGCTGCCTTTATACCTTCAGTCCCTCAGGAATTAAGGTGTTCTCACTTAATGCAATTTATAGAGCCTAAGATTAAGTTTTACGGTGTTGATAACCTTGAGATACTTTTGAAGTGCCGTAAATTTAAACCAGATGTTAGCTGGACACATCTCCCTGCTGAGTCCAAGCCGATCTTCCCCTGTTTGCAGGTAAGATCAAAGAAGGGATTTTATCTCACATAAAATGACCATTTGTTCATTCAAGTAAACTGGTTCTTTGACACCAAAGTTTTAGGAATTTTATTCCAAATGTGTTCAATTTGCTTACTCTGGTAATGGAAATTGACAGGCATGCGAGACCTGAGTCTCAAGTCTGGTAGTGCCAAGTGGAAGCAGACAAGTTGCTAGTGGCCGGTGCTAGAAGCATCAGTTTGTTCTGAGAAGAGAAAGCATTGTTTGTGACTTAGTTTGTACTAACTACAAATTTGTTAAGTAGTTCATTTTTAAGAAAAACCCCTCTACAATATGGACAGATGGCTGAAAAAACATGCATCACACAAGAAAACCTCAGGTGATGCACAAATGCAGCCCAGTTCTAGTGAAACTGAAGTTAGTGATAATATGAAGCCTAATTATAAATGTTTAAGTGATATGCAGCTTGGTATCAAAGAAAACAAAAAAAAGACCTCTTGAACTCGACAGTATTGTGATGGATATTTGAAGTATGGTTTTATAAGTAGTGGTAGCAATAATGACCTGCCACTATTTGTTCTTTGTTGTTCAACATTATCAAATGAGAGCAAGAAACCATCGAAACTGAAACCACTTGGATACCAGACATCCAGAATACTTGAGTAAGCCAATAGATTTTTTCATAAATAAGAAAAATGAAATAGTTTTTTCCAAACAAATAATTTCACACATTTTTTCCACGAGATCTTCCAATGAAGAGTTGGTTATGGCCTCATATGAAATTTCAAAACTAATAGCCAAGACAGGTTATCTGCATACTATTGGTGAAACTTTAATACTTCCTGCAGTAAAAATAATTACATCTCGTGTTTATATAAAAAAGAAAATCAGTTGAATTTACTGTCCCTATCTAATAATACAGTGAAGCATAGAATTGTGGATATGGCAAAAAATATTGAAGAAACTCTTATAGGTTGAGTTCATTGTAGTTAGTTTTTACAAGTGGATGAAAGCACAGACAGAGCAATTATGCCAATTTAATGAGCTTAGTAAGATATGACTATAAGGTCACAATTCATGAAGATTTATTGTTTTGTAAACCACTTCCAACAAGAACAATGGCTGACGAAATTTTTAATTTAATCAATAAGTTTTATAATTCAGAGTGGTATTCAATAGAAAAATTGTTTTGGATTGAGTACCGATGGTGCTCGTTCAATGGCAGGTTCCCATACAGTTTTCCAGAAGATCCAAGCAGTGGCATCAGATTGTGAATGGGTGTATTGTAGCATTCACAGAGGTGTTAGCTGTGAAGAAAATGCCCTTACTTTTGAATTCAACTATACAAGAATGTGTTAAATTCAGAAACTATATAAAATCTGGTTTGTTGAATTCCAGAATCTTTACTGCTTTGTGCAAAGAATTAGGAAGTGAACACGAGCATCTCCTATTACACTGTGAAGTTTGGTGGTTATCAAAAGGAAATGTCTTAAAATGACTTATTGAAATGAAGAATGAAGTTATCTTGTTTTTGGAACAACATCCCATTCAGCAAAAAATGTAATATTTGAATTTAGAGACAGGTTTCATAATTTGCATTGGTTAATTAAGGTGGCCTACTTATGTGAGATTTCTGGCTTCTTAAATGTGTTAAATCTAAATTTACAAGGTGCTAACATAAATATTTTTAAAGTCCAGATTTGAAGATTAAACTGACTTCATTTCCTCCTGATTTGAGTAGCTGTGTGATGAAAAACAGCATCATTCTTCTCATTAGGTAAGTTTATTTCTTAAAAGAGCATTAATAAATATACAGTTAATGTAAAGATTAAATAACAATGAAGTATAATTTCTTTTTACACAGTAGTACTATAAAGCACTTGCATATTTTATAATCGATGATGTACTGATAAAACTATTGCTTCCAGCTTGGTGTTAAGACTTAGCCATGTCTTAACAGGTTATCTAATTAGGTATTTGAAGAGGCCTGGCCTCATGAAAAATTACAAAAATAAACAGGTCCCTAGTTGGAAAAGTTTGGGAAATGCTGTTTTAAACTGCTATATTAATAAAAGAACACACGATACTTACAAACATTTATATTAATAGAGGTACATAACATACTGTTAAACCATTATGTTAATAACACAATACTTTTAAACCATTATAGAGATACACATGATACTTTTAAACTATTTTATATTACTAAAGATATATATTATATTTTTAAACCATTATATTACTAAAGGTACTAATGATATTTTTAAACCAATATATTACTAAAGGTACTAATGATATTTTTAAACCAATATATTACTAAAGGTACTAATGATATTTTTAAACCAATATATTACTAAAGGTACTAATGATATTTTTAAACCAATATATTACTAAAGGTACTAATGATATTTTTAAACCAATATATTACTAAAGGTACTAATGATATTTTTAAACCAATATATTACTAAATGTACTAATGATATTTTTAAACCAATATATTACTAAAGGTACTAATGATATTTTTAAACCATTATATTACTAAAGGTACTAATGATATTTTTAAACCATTATATTACTAAAGGTACTAATGATATTTTTAAACCATTATATTACTAAAGGTACAAATGATATTTTACTATCTGTAAATACCAATTCACTTTCCTTAGTTTTTGGAACATAAATTACACTTGCCTGCAATGGTTTCATTGTTTTGAAATTTATATATTTCCTATGGTAATTTCCCTACGCTGAATCCGAAAATATCCATTTTTCTCCGTCACGTACAGATTTTATATAAAATGTCATATGTACTTTTAAATAAGTGAATCATTTTCATTGAAATCGGGTCACACTTTGTTATGCTTAAAATGTTGACAACCACTAGCTATAGATTTCTCTGGACCAATCATGACGTGAGAGTCTTATTAATCATTCTAGAACCCATGAGAAACACACCGCTGGTTAACAGTTAACAGGTTGCATGGCGTGTCACTACTGGATAGTATTTGTTCGTGCGTGCACTTTGACATTATTCTATTCCTTTCAACATTATATATTTGTTGCTATGGCAACAAGAGGTTGTGGAAATGACCCAAACATATTCTGTTATATTTGTGGTAAATATGTTGTAAACAAACAAAGGCAGAACATTATAGAATTCATTAAGAAAGTGTATTACACATATTTTGGAAAAAAACTTGGGGACCAAGACAAATCATGGGCTCCACACAAAGTTTGCACCGTTTGTGTCGAAGAGTTGAGACAATGGACTAAAGGTAAGAAAAAGTCTTTGCCTTTTGGAATTCCAATGGTCTGGTGTGAGCCTAGAAACAATGGAGATGACTGCTATTTTTGCTCATGTAACGTGCAAGGCTACAACACTTGAAATAAATGGAAATTTCTTCTCTGAACCATCAACCTGCTATAAGATCTGTTGCTCATGAACCTGACTTACCTGTACCTACTCCACCAGAGACCCTTGATACAGTTTCATCTGATTCTGATGTCAATAAAAATGATGATAGGGATTGTTTTCAACCTGAAACATCTGGTGAACCATAACTTTTCACACAAGTTGAGTTTAATGATTTAGTGAAAAATATGGGCCTTCCAAAAGATTCTTCAGAGATTTTGGGGTCCAGACTTATGGCTAAGAACTTAATATCTCCAAGGACATCATTTTTCTGGTACAGAAATCACAAGAAAGAGCTTATATCATACTTTTTGCAAGAAGGTTCACTGGTTTATTGCAACAGTACTGCTGAATTAATACCAATGTTAGGAGCTTCAGTCTAAGAACCAAGTGAGTGGTGATTGTTCATTGATTCCTCCAAAAAAATCTAAAAGTTGTTCTCCTTCACAAATGGTAACATATATATATGCGTCTGTTTCTATTGCACAATTGGCTCACTTAAAAGAAACAAATGAAAATCTTGAACTTCTTAATACAAATACAAAGAACATGGTTGGCTACTTTGTAGAGACTTAAAGGTACTTTGTATGTTGTTGGGTCAACAATCTGGTTACACAAAGTTTCCATGTTTTTTTGTGTGAATGGGACAGCAGAGCATGAAATCAGTACTGGATAAAGAAGTAATGTCCATGCAGAGTCAGCCTGATACCAGGATCAAAAAACATTGAACATGAAAGTTTGGTTGACAAAAAGAATGTCTTATTACCTTCACTTCACACAAAATTGGGCTTGATGAAGCAGTTTGTAAAGGCTTTAGACAAAGATAGCAACTGTTTCAAGTATGTATGTGGGAAAATACCAGCTCTTTTGGAAGTGAAACTTAAAAAAGGGATTTTTTGTTGGGCATCAAATTAGGAAATTGATTTTGGATGAACAGTTCGAAAGGACAATGAGGAAAAAGAAGCATGGATTGCCTTTAAAGATGTTACTGACAAAGAACACTAAAACTGTGTAGATCATCCAGTTATGTTCCAGTATAATTATCAAATTTACTGTTGAACATTAACAAGCTCACAAACCTGCACTTCTGGATACATTAGTATATAACTGTGATGGTAACTAAAAATGTGAAGTTAACCTTAAGAAAACACTTACTGGCTTTTATTTTAAATTTTACAAGTTATATAATACCTGTGTTTAAAGCAAACCTGGTGAGGATTTTAATTTGCCATATACATAAAATCTCAACTACTCATAAATTTTTTCATAAAGAATTTAGCAACATTATACATTTTCTATGCCAAAATTACTTTGAAATTTATCTTATTGATTGAATAACTCATGATTATTTTAACATACAAAACTCTACTAAGCTTCCTAGGTATGAAGTTCTTAAATGTCAAGTATAAACAATCTTGCTATAAATCAGAAAGTATTCGTTGCATGTTCAAAAAACCTACACTTTCTACTTTATAGTGAATCCACCTATACAACTAGAATTTATTTTTACAAGCTGAATGTTGTCTACAGCAGGGGTTCCCAAACTTTTTAGAATCGCGACCCACTATTCATGACCACAGCTTATGGCAACCCACTCAAATTTACTGGGCAAAAACATACGAAGGAATATAAAAAATACTATTTATTCATATTCACGTATTTCAATTACATTTAAAAATACTCACATATTTTCAATAACATTTTCAGAACTTATAAATGCTATCTAATTGATTAATAATGAGGTGTGTGTGAAGGATGTGCTTGTTTCTTGTTACTGTCAAGAATGGCATTGACATCAACATCAATGTGGATTAGTTTCAGGCATAAGGAATTTGACAATTGAAGTTTATTTTGGAATTTGTTTTTGATTCCTACCATTGCTGAAAATCCAACTTCACAATGATATGAAGATGAGAAAGGGAGAAGTACCTTCAAAGCTTCAGTGGAAAGGATTGGGTACAGTTTCGAACAGACACCCAGAACTGTATCAGTTTTCTGCTGTTAAAGTTCATTTCTAACGAAGGGTCCTCAGATAAATAAAAAAGTTCTTCCTCAGCTTTTGTCGATATCCCACTCGTTATGTCAGGCTGAAAGGGGTTCATAATCCATTTTTTCTCTTGGATATTTTTAATTTCATTTGAATACAGATATCAAACTTTTGATTGCAGAATTTTAACTTTTGATTATCGATATCTATAGTTTTTTTATTTCTAGATATCCTTTGTAAGTAGATATCTAACCTTTGGTTACAGAATTTTAACTTTTGATTGAAATAGCATAGGCGTAGGAGCTGGGGGCACATTATATCTACATATAATCAAAGGATACCTAGAAATATAAAAAAAAAACTATAGATATCTATAATGAAAAGTTAAAATTCTGCAATCAACTGATAAAACCGGTACTATAGCTAAAGTACTGTATGAATAGGTGAAAATTGATTTCCTTTTTTACGATGACGAATGATTAAATTGAG